CCCCAAAACCCCAAAACCCCAAAACCCCGCTTTGTAATAAGTTGAGTAAAATTTATTTTTGAAAATATGCTTTTAATATATAAAGAACACTATTTTTCAGACTATTAGTTTTTATAGATCAGCAACGTGTTAAGAATATATTTGTCTTTGTTCTGTCCTATATTCGTAAGCTAATCTAATTCTATTGCTTTCAAAATATTAGATTCTCTCTTCTTCTTCATCAAGAGAGCTACCAAAATCTAAGACATACTGCTGTTTTATAAGATCTATAGCAAACTAGCATACTAATGCAGAAGTGCATGTAGTGAGTCCTGCATCGTAGAGAACTTGTTTGCAAGATGCTAGAAATTTATCATTTCTATTGTTCTTGTGTAAGATAATTAACTTTACTTTTTAAGAAACTTTAAGTTTGATTGAGAAACAATCACTCTCATTGTTTCTTAAGAAGAATCCATAGTTGACAAAATGATATCTATTTGTCATGTGCCCATAATTGTTTGTAATCTACTCTCCTTCTTCTAAGTCTTAAGAACTCACCAATTAGAAGAAAGAACCCTCTGGGGGCACAAAATAAGATGTATCATCCTCAACCATTTCAAAAGGGACTTCAGTTATAATGTTTTCTAGTTCCTCTTCAGAAGGAGGGAAATACTAACCGTTATTAACTTCAATCCCAGGTATGCAATAGCAATTAAGGTTTCCAATATTGTTTTCTGTCAATACATTACCTTCAGAATCCACTACCTGACAAATTGAGGATTTACCTTTCCCGTGATTTACTGACTCAATTATAGGCAACACAGTGAAATACTTGAGATTGAATTCATTTTAGATCAATCTGGACTAAGTTATGGACCAAGCTTCAAGATATTACTTGACAAAGTTTTCTTTGGTTTGTTCTCCTGAACAAAATTTAGAGACATAATCATGCTGGAAAATTTTATCATAAACTTCATAGGCTTCTTAAATGTTTGAATTTTTCATCTTTTTAATTAGGGAAATTGCTTGAATATCTTTAATAGATTAAATTTCTTCTTCAGTCCATTAAAATGGTAGTTCAGCAGGGGCTTAAACTGAGATGAAATAGTATAAATCTGACTCAGTACCTAAGAGTACTTAATGCATCATGAAAAGGGATAAAGTAATATCTTAATTAGCATCTAAGGCTTAGATCACCTCTCCTACACCTGAGCTGTCTCTAATTGTTTCAAAGTCTATTCTTGAAGAACACGGAGTTCTCAAGATCCATTCACCTTTCTTTATTTTTTGATTTGCTCCTACACCCAGTAAAAACCCAGAAGGACCATAAGCCGAAGGATAATTAATTCTTTCCAAATTCATTCCTTTTAAATTGCACCAATCTAAAAATTTGGCATACTTAGGATCTTTTTAGAGTTCTTAGGTGGCTTCTTTGTCACTAAATTGAAATGGGTCTGGTTGGCTTTGCATTCTTATTTTATTTTATAAATCTATTTTTATTCTATTATATTATTAAGATTTTTAAAATCATTGAATTACTTTACAAAGGGCAACTAGCCTTAACTTAAAACAATGATTTAGCAACGTAGCAGTCTATATTTTGAATAAAAGTTAGAGAGAATTATAAAAATGAAGATGAAATGAACAAATCTAACTACTTACTTATGCTTTATTTTTATAATTAATAGGTACAATATATTTAGAACCTTCTAAATTTTGACTATGGTAATCTCTTTCTCTCTAATCTAGTTGTATCATTAAATAATGGTATGAGTATATTATATTTGAAAAAATGTTCTTATCGTTTTTTAAATTATTTGTTTCCTATTATTCATAAATTCTAACTTCAAGGGGTTTTGGGGTTTTGGGGTTTTGGGG